TATTTTACGAGTTTTCATGTAATGGATAAATCATGACTGGGTCTCAAAATCCAGTTTCAGACGTTTTAGCAAATTAGGAAAAATATTAATTTATATTATAAATTAAAATATTATAAAGGAGTGGAAACGTACCCTTTTTTTTTATAAGAGCCTATGTATTTAAAAACTATATTATATTACTATATTTTTCTAAAAAGGATTAAACAAATTTTAGAATGTAGTGTAGGTAATTTATAAAAAAAGGATAAAATAATAGTTTTGTGGAGGGAACGTATGGATAGAGGCCGACGTAAGACGTTGCTGGACCTCATGACACGTGGACTTTTGGTTTCCATTAATGGATTATTTAATCAAAAAGACAAAAATGCCCTTTGCTTAAGCGATGAAACTGGGAAAAGATTGAGCGTCTTTGGTAAATCACAAAGAGACCAACAAAGCTTATTTAAAAGTTTTCATACAATCTGCACTGTCTCAATGCAATTCTATAACAAAAGAAAAGACAGAGATGGTTTCTATGGAGTCTTTGCTTAGGATATGAATCAAAAAGGGGAACTGCCGCTTTTGGTTTTGCCGAGCATCACGTCTTTAGCTTCATTGATCTTAGAAGCCAGGAAATGGCTACCACCTGCATCTGGATGGTTTGCAACCATTACCTTCCTGTGTGCTTCTTTCACCTTCTCTGCTGCTACATTCTCCCTGCGTTTCAATCCCAACCCAAAATGTAAAACAATTTCAGATATTCTTCGATGAAACTATTTGCTAATGCTTACCAAATTGATCACAAATTAGTTGAAGACTGAAAAAACAGAGTATATGCAAAACCTTTTACCTGATGCCAAGAATAAGAGCAGCTTCCCTTCTTGTCATTGTAGGTTGGAAACCGCCTTCGTAGAATTTCTTGATTTTGGGCCTTGGTGGTCTTGCCTTGAATGCTTGCCATGCTTGGATTCCATATCTACCAGCAAGTGCAGTTGCAGCTACTGCAACCCCCGCTATAAATGGTGTCGCCTGATGTACCAAAAACATAACCAAATTAAGCATTTGTATGCTTCAATTCTACTT